ACTCTTATTTAAAAGCAAACACCAAACAAAACAAGCCCCATAATGCTGTCCATAATGCAGCAAAAATACTTCAACCGCTGGATTTTTTTCCAGTGCATCTGTCTTTTTTTCTCAAAATTACTTTYATACATTTAAAACCAGACATAACAGTTCTCAGAGCAACCTGAAAAAAGCAAGCAAACCAGTACGTATTTACAGCATTCTGCTTTATCCTGCCCCTGCCTCATTTTGAAGTAGGTCATTAGAAATAAAAACCAATCAACCAACCAAACTCCTTTGTTTTTTCATCAACAGTTYTGAAAGGCGAGGCTTTTTCCTCCATACCTTTTCCTTCTGGACATCAGTTGGAGCTAGGAAGGCTACTGAGCAGTAATATCACCTGTGGGATATCACTGCTCGCTTTTTTGATGCAATGCTTATCTGACATAATGAGTRACAGAAGCTCAGTGGCATAGAAGTCTCCTGAAGAATATCATGCAAGAATGGGAACAGGCATGTCTGAGTAGAGGAACTTGTGAAATGTAACTGTGCCAGAGAATRCTGGGACAGACTCAGTCGTTTTAAATGACATTACCTTTGGGATAAACAATAGTTTTGTGAAAATAAAAATACAGAGTACTTAATATGAATTAGACTTTTAGACCAAGAGAAAGGTAAGATCAAGAGAAAAATAATCTGAAAAAAAAAAGAAAGGTGTTTTGAATTTTACTTATTAGTAAACTTACCTTACCATAAGGACCTTTTTTAAATCCAAAACCTGAAATTTCTAAAAGTTGTGGAAAAGTTTCAACATTTGTAGCCTTATCTAGAAGAATATAGGGAACAAGTAGCAATTTTTTAAATGCAAGCAGTTGTTTGTACCAGTGTATACCTGTCTTTTTTTTTTCTGTTTTTTAATCTGAAAGTCAGATTGCGTAGGTCTTGGGGCCAGGATAGTTTTCCTACATGACATAGGGATACTTTGCTTCAGAATCCATCGTGTTCAGTACATTGCCAGAAGCATAGTATGTGTCTCCTTTCTGTAGTTTCTTCAGCATAAAAATATAGCATCGTGGCTAAACAGTGTTATTGTGTGCTGCTTCCTCCTCCTTGTTATGCAGCTAAATTTAGAGGAAAATGACTGGGACTGGAGCAGTGGCAAAATTGATCAAATGCCAGCTGTTTTGGCGGAACTGATAGATCTAAAAATGTCTTAATGGGTTGCCCCAAATGGATCCTTATGTTCTCACACAACATTCARAACAGATTAAATTAGTTAGCTGGCTATTTTAAGACAGTTTTGTGTAAGCTCTGTCTGCGGGCTCCACATTTAAAAAAATCCATATAATCAACCCCTGTGTTTCCACCTCTAGGCCTGACACCTTGTGAAAAGGAAACTATTCCATACTTTTCCAGTACCCAGCAGCTACTTAACTGAGCGAATTCAAACAAGCTAGACCTTTTGGGCTTAGCAGGCCAACAAGCTCATTATGAGACTCCTTTGTTTCCATTACTGATCACAGGAAGGAATGAGTGTGTTTGGTTTCCTTATAAACATCATCATAATACCAGAGAGARCCCAAACCATTTGCTTCAAGGTAGAGGTTGTAGCATTCCTTTCTGCTCAGCAAGTGGAAAGCAGCGATGTTTCAGAAGCTGACAKGGAGTCGTGAGCCTGCTCTAGCATATGGACAAATTAAAACATTTCCATTGAAACTGAGTAATATGTTTCCTTTGTACTTTGTCCATTGTTTAAGCAATGTGTACAACATTTTTTAGAACATAAGAGAGATATATTTATCAGAAAAGAAGTGAAATACATATTTTGAATTAGTCATGCTGTTAAATAAATGGGCAAAAACAGCTCAGAATAAGGAATCACAAGCTTTGTTTATATTTATGGTCCATGAAAAACAAYAGAAAGTCTCTTCTTGTCTTGTGTAGACTCTTGATTCTGTCAAATTTAGAGTAAAGGCTTATGATTCTTCACTTTAACACTTCACAAAATCTCCCTCTGAGTAGTTTGAAAGATCTGATTCACTTTAAATAATATCAGAAACCCTGCTTGACTTGCTGTGTTTGTGAACAGATTTTAGCAGATTGTAGTTTCTCAGCTTTACTTCTCAAACAACCAACAATTTTTTGTTGAAAGACAGTGAGTCATCTGTGTGTGGACTATGACCCTCTCTGAGACAGATGTAGACAGGTTCAAGACGTTCTTCATTTCTAACCATTTAGTCACAGCTCTGCAAATGGGATATGTGAATCTTTTATTAATGTAATAGCTGGAGATTTTATTTTGTATGAAGTGGAAAAGTCTGTGGTTTTTGAGGATACTATTAGAAGCTTTTTCCTTTTGCTGTATGAATGTGGTTAAGTCATGATCAGAGTGCCTGCAGAGGTACAAAGCCTAAAGCAACTGTAACCTGGGTCRGATTTTCAGGTCAGCATACTCAACAAAATTTCTCATTGATCTCTCTGGAATCAGAATTCTGTCCCATGTGACATCTGTCAATCTTACTAAGATCATTTTGGTTTTAACTGTAAATATTTGGACTCTTTTGTACACCACTTTCACAGGTCCTTTGAGAATAAGTGGAAATTTTTTTCAGCTACGCCTGACYGGTCTGCTTACAAACTGCTTCTACTCTGCTTAGCAATGGGGAAATAATTGTATTGCYCTTTTTTCTTTCCCTCATGTTGGGCTTGCAAGAAAAACTTTTTGTAAAATGTTCAGKAAATAGCATAAATGCTAAGTTATTCATACTTTCCAACAAAAAGTTTAATGTTTTGTGAAATGAATCTGAAATTTACACAACTTCTAGCGAACTATTATGAAAGCTGTCATAGAAATGAAGTTCTACACATATTTATGTCTTTGAGAAGTAGAATATGAATTGGAATTGCCACAAGCCAAACCTCTTCAGTTTTAATATTTTTTTGAAATCCTAGATGAACGTGTATCTTTGGAAATCAGTAAGTAAAATTGGTTAAGACAAGTATGGGACTGTTTTACCACAAGTTTAGAAGTAGGCAAGTCAGCTTTTTTTTTTATAAGCTTATTATTACTTGCCAATGCTTTAGCACAAATCAGCTTTCCAAAGTATTTTGGAGCTAATATTTAATCTTTATGAGCAATGTACAATGCATTATGTCATAACATGCTGACACACAGATCTACATCTGAGCACAGAGGGGGTGTCTTCAACAGACTAAGTCATCCCAGATGTAAGTTTCCTCTGGAAAACTTATTTAATACTTTCATTCTGCCAAGGGCCGCAACGATTTTGACTGCAATTCTCCTAGCTTATTTCTTAACTCATTTAACAATGTCCAGAGATTTAGAAACAAGTACGAATGTCATTACATCCAGATGTCTGGTTAGTCTTTCTTTCTGTTGAATGTTGCCATCTACTGTGGAATAATGGAAGGACAAGCTTGCAAAAGCAAGGAAATATATTTTATTCCCTTATTATTCTAAAATTATAGCAGTCATTTTCTGAGACTTTTAAAATTTCTTTGATTTTCATTTATATTATTGTCCAAAAAATAGGGAAAGGTGAATATTTTTTGGTATGAAAAACTGGTAACAGAGGAAAGATTCTCTTTCAGAAAAGAGTGGTTATCTTGAAAACAGAACCTTTTCTAATCAACAGTGGAAAAATATGTGAATGACAGCCCTTTTCCGCTCCCCCTTGGAGGTGTCCTTTTAGCTTTAAGGTAGCAGATTCATACTGCTGGGGCGGGGTGGGGGGGGCGGGGAAAGACAAACTAAACAAACTGAAGAACTAGGAACATTTTGAAATACAAAAATGGAAAATCTTGGATATTCCTTTGTAAGAACCTGGCAGTCTTATAAATTTTAGTAAAAGAAATCATATAGTTTTGAAAGGAAGAGAGAGGTATGCTGAGAGCTGAAAATCTGAACATTAAAAAAAATAATCAGAGAGACATCTTACTGGTACTGCTATGTACATACTCTACTTATATGAATGTGTATACTATTCATACAACTATATTTTACACTTGTACACACAATATTAAGTTCTTATCTAACTGCTACCTTATTATACTTGTAAATGAGTAGAAAATTTTAACCTGTGGAGTTGCAAATGACATAAATGGAGCAACTGCTGAGCACATTGCTCTAGAGTGTAGTAGGTCTATGCCCATCAGTGCTGTATGGATATACGGATAACAAGTTCTTCTGTGTGGTTTTGCAAGTATTCTGTTTTATATAGTTTAATGCTTTCTGAGTCTTCCTTTATACAATGAACCACCCATCTTTTGCCTCATAATAATTCAGTTCTTTTCATGGGTGATTAGAAAGACTATAAAGAAAATTTCATTTGTATTAGTGCAATTCTCATTTCTAAAATGTATTTCAATCTTCTTAGTGTATGGTAAATATAAATATTATCCGTCATCTTTAGGAACATAAAATGTTTAACAGGAATCATTTGTCATTTCTTTTGTCAAGGCTGGGCTGTATGTTTTTTCATAAGTGCCTAATATGAATTGCCCTTTATTAAAGACAAAACAAAATTTCACAGAAACAGTCAGCAATTAACTAAGCAGAAAATCAGGTTATTTGCCCAGGATCCACCAGAATGATTCTGGAATGAGAGAAGTGGGAAACCAGTCAGTTCTTTTTAGAAACTAAATTTGCCTAATCAAGAATGTCTAAGCACTTACATGTACTACATGTTAGGCTTCTCTTCAGAACTGGTGATTGTTAGTCTACATGATTCGAAGCAACATGTGATGCTGTGAGCTGGAGTCATGGCAGGATTTAGGAAGATGCTGCCTTGAAAAAAACAAATAGTTCCTCACCATGTCTCTTGGGTGTAATCTAAAGATCCCAATATGAAGTTCTCTTCATATATTTACCCTTTACTTCATACAGAAAGGCCATATTATGGTACAAACCAAATGCACTGTCCAAGAGTTTCACTTAAAGCACCTTTGTTTGGAAAATCCATTTGAGCTGTTATTAAACATCATTTTGTCTTTCTTTCCAGTCACTACAGAAACATGTACCCATCTTGGCCAGGTTTATGCTGACAGGGACGTTTGGAAACCTGAGCCATGCCAGATCTGTGTGTGTGATTCTGGATCCGTTCTCTGTGATGACATCATCTGTGACGATCAAGAGTTAGACTGCCCCAACCCAGAGATTCCCTTTGGAGAATGTTGTCCGGTTTGTCCACAAACAACAACAGAAGCTCCTAGAGTAAGTTTCTCCTCGATGCCTATTACGTTAGAGTTGAATACTTCTTGATTTGTATTAACTTCAGCTTTCATTTACAAAAACACTCAAGGGTGTTTTTCACTTTCTGACTTCAAGTAAATATTTAGGATGGACAAATTATGCCAAGTTAAATAAAAAAGCAACATGAACTTTCACTTTATCAAGATTCAAGTGCTTCAACTCAGCTTTACTTAGAAGACGGGCAAATATCTATTGCAGATAAACAGGAACAAGAGGTAGAAGGCAACAGACATATTACATGTTTTAAGAAGCACAGGAAAAATGCAAGCAGCTTATTTGTTGAAGTCATGTTTAATCTGTTTCCATGAAACAAATAATAACTCAGAAGTAAATAAAATCAGAATATTTTCACAGCTACATCATTGTGTATATTCCCTTTTGTTGAGTAATTACTGACTTAATTCACAGTAAAGGAAAGATGATTCAGACCCTACAGCTATAATTTATCATTATCTTGTTTTTAGATGTTAACATTATCTAAAAGTAGTTGCAGCAAAAGAACCTCAGAAAAAAAAACCTGCTTTAGTGCATGTCAGGCTCCACCACGTAAATTGCTTCAGAGCTTGAACTAGTTATCATGACATGTACATTGTAGAAATACTCAGGTTACCTGAACATTTTGTCCTGGTTAAAGATCCATGAGATTGAATGTGAGTATATGGATTCCTTCAGGGATATTGAAGATTCTTAAGTGGAAGACCCTTGTGAGATTGTTACTGCTTGCAAGTTTAGGATATATTAAAAAAAAAAATCTATTTCAATAGATTCACAATATTTTTATTGTGTGTTTAATTATGAATGCACTGTGAAAATGCAGATGAAAKACTGTCAAAAAATCTCACAAAATACAAGGGTTTGGAATATTGCAGTGATAATAAATTGAATTAATTTGTTAAAACTATATTCCAATGTCTAACTATGTTTTCCTCTTGCTTATGTATTTAAATGCTTTTTTTAATTTTGATTTTTTTTCCTAGACTACTCCATCAATTGTTCGAGGTCCCAAGGGAGATCCTGTAAGTGCAGCTGCTTTTTTAAAAAAAAAACCTAACAAAGTACAGAGCCAGTTTATATAGTACTACATATTCCTTTCAACCTGCTGAAGTATCCTTTTCTCATTGATACCTGCACCATCTGCAGACTGTGCCATGCAGTTATTTTGAAGTAATCTTTTTACTTTCARTAGATCTGTGAAAAACACAGAAGAATTTAATCCGGACTATGTTTCCTTTGTTACACTTTTTTTTTATATTTCTCTCCTCCATGGACTCCATGGATTGTGAATGTATGGAGTTAATTAGCAGTGTTACTTTCACATTCAGCAATTGACTCCTTGAATATTTATAATGTGCTCAATCCAATATCAGCAGGACAAAGCTCAAGCAGCTAATGAGTGTTTTCTTGTGTGAATTTTGTCTACTCTCTTTACCTTTCTTGAATAGTTGAGGYATGACCTTAGGTAGGTCTAATGGGGAAGGCTGTCTATCATAGGCTTGCATAATTTGTTTAGAATGAAAGGATTTGTCCCCTGTGTGCTTTCATTTGGAAGCAAGTGACTATGTCTATTTTATTTGTGCCTTTGCAGGGTTCTCCTGGTACTCCTGGCAGAAATGGTGCCCCTGGCCCTCCTGGACATCCAGGGAGTCCTGGAGCTCCTGGTCCCCCAGGGATCTGCCAGTCATGTCCCAGTGTAAATGGAGGTGTAAGTAATTGTTATGTTCAGCTACTGTGTTGTTTCTCATAAGCATACAAAGCAATGCTGTGAAGTACAATATTCAGAAGACATCTCACCTCTTTCTCAAAGTACAAATATTGGCCTCCCTTGGGGTGGTACTTGCAGTGCTACAAAGCAGTAGTGAACTTAGTCCTTGTATCTCCTCCACACCTCTCTCTCAGTGGTATCCATCTCATTTGTGCGTTTGAAAAACATATCTGAGTAATGTGGGATGAGGTTTTTTAATTGTATCTTTGTTTATTTTCTATATTGTTTGGTTGGAGTGCAACCAAATATCTTTATCTGTCTCATTTCTTAAAAGTTTTAAGGCCAATGCTGAGAAAACTTAATGTTACTCAGGCTTAATCAGACCAAAAAAAAAAAAAAAAAAAAAGAAATGTGCAGGAGAAAGTATTTCCATTTAAACTTAATGGTTTAATCTGGTTTAATAAAGAAACATTCTAGAAGACTAGCCTGATAAGTCTTCTGCCTGTAGACAAATGCCATGTAAGTCCTATTTATTGTGCTCCTCCTTGTATTTTGTTTCTGGCCCATTGAATCTTGAATTTTCTTCTGAGCAGCTGGGCAGCATCAGCAATAGAGCTCATGAGTTCTCGCTAAAGGATTGGTTGGGTTGTCATTCTGGGATGTCTATGATATGTGTTTAATTCCTGCATATAGGTAAAGGACTTGAACCTGGGTCACCACCTCCTTGCCAATTTCTGTGGTCACCGCTGTCACTACATTTTATAGAGAGCTCAGTATGTTAGGTAGTTCTGGCTCTCAGGTGAAATCTGTACGGTGGATATAAGCAGAAAAATGCATTTATTCTTTTTTCTGATAGTGGATAGATATATATTAGGCACCTAGCTGTTCATTGTTTCCTTTATTATTAGAATGATAGATGTGCGTGTTGTCAGTTAGGAGGTGAAAAGTTTTATCTGTAACTCACGGAAGGACACATATATGGTGAGAGACCATATGGTCTCTCACATATAAGGTGAGAGACCTTCTGATACAGAAGGCTCTGAAATGAGACCTTCATTAGACCTTCATTCAATGACACCTTCACAAGTAGAAGAGATGAAGAAACAATAAATTGTTACATGGCTTAGACCATTGTCACAAAAGATAAATATTTCCTCAGCTTCTTAGGGAGACTATGTCAGATAGAAAAGAGATTGATAAAAAAATGGAAAGGAAGGAAAGCTTAGGAGTCCAGCAAGGAAGAGAAGAACATCGATTGGCTCACCTGAGGCTCATTTATCAGTATAAGAAGGGAATTAATGAAATGTAGGGAGCTAAAATTGCCTTGATTGCAAAGGAAAGATACTGGCTGGGTTTCTCTCATGGATAATTTTGAACTCTGCCAGTTATATGTTTAAAAAAAGTGCTACTCAGTGTATTTAAGTGAGTTATTTCCATTTGTTTGTCTTATTAAAGCGAGAAAATTCTTAGAAATGAAGCAAACACTTTTTTTTTCTTTTCTTTTTTTTTCTCTTTATTTCTGTTACAGAGTTTTTCTCCACAGTATGATTCCTATGATGTGAAGGCCGGTTCAGCTGGTATTGGTTACCCTCAGCCCATTGTAAGATGATAATCTTTTCTTTTTCCATTCTTTTTTTAAAAGAACTTTTTTTTTCTGATTGTAGATTATACCTTGGATGTCTATCTGTATCCTGACTTGAATTTAATACATTAATTTTTAATTTAATTGTTACCTGCAAGTGGAATGTGATGTGAGTCGGCAATTTGCTTGGCAATACATTCCAGAAAGTAAATACATATGATGGCTTTTTCTGCTTTTTCTTTTTCCCTTTCTTTTCTCACCTTACTCTTAATCTTTCTCTTGTGCTACCTCTTCTGCCCTGTATACCCTCCTTGCTTACTAGCTTTTCTATTTTTCTGGTAATTGCTTCATTCTCCTCCACATTTTTACCTCTACAATTGTGTCTAATCTTCTTTTATTTGTTCATCTGCATTCTGGCTTTCCTCATAATGAGTCCATGCATGTTTGTACTTCCACACCTCAAATTTGCCAGATAAGTAATAAACCCGTTCATCTTAGACGTAGCCAAAGTTTTTCACTCTTTATATTATTATTATATCCAGACTGTGTACTAAGGATGCTACGCGTCCCTGACAGCCTGATACAAGTTTCAAACAGGCTTTTTAGGGGGACACAACAGGGGTTGTCTGAACAGTTATGCTTCCTCTATAAAGCATGTGTAGAAGATGCACCTCCTGATTTTTCTCTTAGGCACTGGAGTTTCTAGACATTAATCACCAATGACACGGAGTGCCCTTGCCATAATGATATCATACTCATACATACAATTATTTTTCTAGATTCAGGAAATTTGCTTTGTAAAGGATGGGGTGAACTACTATCATTTTTGATATTAAGTATATTTGTGATTTCTAATCTCAAACTGCATAACAATGTTTGAGTCACCTGTCGTAACATCTGAAGGTAGTTCCAAGCAATTATTACACCACAGGGTTCCATAAGATTATCTTATGGAGTAAATAGTATTTAATCATGACAGCTGTTTTGCTCAACTATAAGCCATTATTTTCTCACCTTTATTTTCATCCATTTATTTCTACCTCATTCATTTGCTACTATGTCATTCATGCCTTGGTCTCATTCAGCTATTCATTTTCTTATTTATCCATTTGTTAATTTTTCAGCTCCTCACAGTTTTTGCCCAAAGCTTATCATATCATCTGCATTTTGCTACTGGCATYTCAATATCAGATATGCTGAACCAGGCAGAAAACAGCAATACCTTTCAATTTGACAAACATGGTTGCTCTGTATTTTGGCATTGTTCCCTAAAATGCTTCTGTTCTGATCACTATGTGATGGTTAAAAAAAAAATAACTGGGCATCCTAGAATATTTTCAACAAAATTGTCTATATCGTATACTCTTTTATACTTTTCATGTCAATTTTCTTATTTTCATCTCATATGCTCTTTTGTAGATCATGTATTGCATTATGCAATACATGAATCCAAAGTAACTGAACTACTAAAATAGCATAGGACTAAATAGCATGTATCATTAATATCATACAGATTTTTAATTAAGTACTCCAAACTGAAATAGTTTGAAAAGGTAATAAAAAAAAATAACTATGACATCAAAATTTTTCCATAGGTTGTTACCATGCCTGGTATTTCATTAGTTGCACATCTCTCCATTACTGTATTTACAGTGTCTTTGCACTCCAGATACACTGGTGGAAGAAACTGGTTTTGAGTTTCAGTTTCTCTTCATTTACTCTTATTGCCTTCACATATTGGCTTTACCTCTTTCTCCCAGGGTRCATATGCTGACTAAAGTATACTCATTTATTTACAGTCTGGAGACACTGATTGCAAGAAAATACCATTCCTAACTCTGAGTTTACCTCCTCAGTGTACACTTTGAACAAAATAATTTCTCATTTGTTTAGCCATATATTTAATCAATTGTTTGCAATTGTTGAGTAGACAATTCCAAACCATGTTGAGTCTGGGTTTGGTTCGTACCAAGTGAGTTCTTCCCACTTACTGTACTTTCTGACTTAGAAAATTGCAACTACTATGCTGATTCTGTATAGTTTTCCACCATTTTTTTGACAAAAGAAAGTTGTGAACTATTATTAAAATAGTATATAGATATACTATGATACTATGCTACATATACTAGTATGGTTTTGCTCTTCAATTAACCTTATATTATGAAAATTCACTAAATGTATCATCTGTAACCAGGAATTCTGACAATATATGACAATATCCATGAAAAATATGATTCCAAATATTGCCTGTATTGCAGCACATACAATATTTTTCACATAGCTCATATATATGATTGTTTTGACTGTATCAAATCCATGAGGAGTTTAATAAAAACATTTTTTAAGAGAATTACAGGCATCTGCAATAAGCCATTGTGCTAATTTTCAAATGTTTTCTGTTTTGCAGTATCAAATGTTTTTGATGTTATTGTTACTAGAGGTAGAAATACTACTTTTTTTGGTTTTGTTTTTCAAAATGTAGAATTTCCTTAGTTATATTTTATTTCATTTTTACCAGCTAAAATATGGAACAGTTATACYGATTGGAGGTTTTCCTCCAATGTATATAATGAGGTTTCATCCTCTGAGTTCTTTGGTGCATTTATTTTTTATGGCTTAGTACTGTACAAATTCAGAAAATGAGTTAATTGGCAAAAACACATGCCTTGCTGACGAGTAGCAAAAATATGGTCTAAATTCATTATACCTATAAGTCYTAAGGAATTTAAGGTTGTAAAGCACTTACAGGAAATGTTGCCAAGACACATCTTTCTCTAAAAGGGGAAACTATTACGGCTACAGKAAGCCAAAAGGCTCACTTTTTCGACAGATTTTTTTTTTTTTTTAATGACTTGTACATGTATATGTAATGTAACTCCTAAATGCACATGAGAAAATTTTTAATTGGTTTAGAAACCAGCATCTGGTATCAGTACACGAGCACGGAGTTTTACCAACACGCTTTAAMGACACCACTGAGGGTGGAGGGTTAGGGTAATGGTTCCATGGCGAGGAAACAGGACTTCATTACTCTGCTTAACCTATTAAGGTTTCCAGATATCTGTTCTGTCAGTTAAGCTTGCTGAAGATCCCAGCTGCAARTAGCTTTTCCCAGGTCTAGAGAAGTGTAACAGTGAGCAAAAATAAAATTTGCAACTTTGAAAACGTCTCCTTTTGGAGTAGCAAGTTGTATGATATTGCAAAAAGAAACTCAATGGTCTATTTATATTTGTATCTATATTGATTTATTTATACCACTCTATTTACAAAAGGACTGTAAGTAATAGACAATATATGTAACAATATATATGAGCTCTTTGGACTTTTTACTACACCAAGTATGTRTCCTTGTGGATTTTTCTCTGCACTCATAAGCATTTACATTAAAAATTATATTTCAAGATTACTGGTGATTGTTGCAGTTAATTTAAGCATCATATACATAGTACACTAATATAGTAACTGTTTTTTTAATCTACAATACAGAGTGGTTTTCCAGGACCCCCTGGCCCCAGTGGTCCTCCTGGTCCCCCTGGTCATGCAGGTCCACCTGTAAGTAAAATCAATTCTTTTAGTATCTCATTCCTTTTTTAAGAACTTCTCCTTTTCTTTTTCATAAATGCTAGATGCATTTTCAACTCCAAAATCTAGATACTGTGAACAAGAACTGTGTGGTTAAATATCATGTTCTGTTTTGGAGCTGTACTATCTATGTATCACCAAGAATCAATGACTTAAGGCCATACGCTATATAAGCACATGTCCCTGTGTCCCTCAGCTCCACTGAGCTCACTTGGGATCAGCTGAGGCTAAACTTTGCCCTTAGAAATCCTTAAAGTATACTGCTGTTTATGAGATTCTGTTAAAAATCATAAATATATATTCATACCAAAATAAATATACGTAAATGTATATTCACACCAAAATGGCAAAGGGAAGCTGGTGAAGGAAAATGAAAATCCCAGTACACAATCTAAGAGCACATAGAGTTTGAGGTTTTTTGATGCCCATCCCCTATTAGAGAAGTGATTTTAATTCTCTATTTTTTTCATAAAACTTTGATTCTGACTATTTCATCTTTTGATCATTTYGTGACAGCTCTGAATAATTTTTCCTTATAATTATGAAATCATTATGAGATGTGGTAGCACCACAGATTGATGCATGGAATCGGWTATATATAAGCTGTTTCTTTCTGCRTTATAGGGTGCTAATGGATACCAAGGCTCCCCTGGAGAACCAGGACAACCTGGCCCTACTGTATGTATACATTATATGCCATTATATATGTCAAAGGCTTGATCTTTCAGATATGAATTTGACAATTCATCCTGTCTGTTAATTACAGTGTGCATCAAATGTTCTAATACTTTTAAATATCTAATATGTTTTTAATTTTAATAAAGTTCAAGAAAATTAAAATTTGTTACTTTTTTAAAGGGACCTCCAGGCCCTCCTGGACTGATAGGCCCATCTGGTCCACCAGGAAAAGATGTAAGTTCACTACTGTTCACCCAGTGGTAATGAATGGATAGAGTGAAAGTTGATTACATGATAAAATACCAACAGTGATTTTATACTGTTCCACTTAAAAGAGTTTTTAATGTTTTCTGATTTCTAGATTTGCCTAAATGATCATAAGAAACTGGATTTCGCTTAAACTAGATGTAAATGTCCACTCCAAAATAGCTTCAATTTTAGCTGGCAATTTAATTTAAACTTTTTTTTTCCTAAGGAAAATCTATGTATTAAATGTAAGCTTTTGACCTGGCACAAATTTAATCAGTAATTAAAAAGGTAAACAGATAGTAGTAGTGGTTCTCTGCTCCCTTTAAGTCTTGCTCTGTAAATTTGTTTATCAAAACCATCTTTTAAGTCACAGATGAGTGTTCTGAAGAACAGGCACTCTCCCTATCTCTTATTGGTGTTTCACCATGAAAAATCAGTTTTCTGTGTTGCTATTTTTTCTTCTAAATATTGACTTGAAATATGTTAAAGTTACTGAAATCTTATTAAAAATAGACTTAATATATAAATTGTGACAAATGTTTTTCAAAAGTAGTGAATGTACTTTATATAAGGAGGTACTTTTCAAAACCACTAAATGAAAATGTAGTGAAATTGTCTTTAATATAATTTTCCCCATTGTCTAGTTGTGAGGGTCTAACCTACTTCTTCCAATTCACCTTTAATGGTCAACAAATTTACTTTCTTTCCACAGGGAGAACCAGGAAGACCAGGTAGAAATGGAGACAGAGGAATTCCTGGATTGCCGGTATGAAAAAGCTCCCAGTAACAATGAAAAAAACATGGAAAGTTTTGTTTTCCAAGTTTAAGCTAGTTAAATGAACATGTAAGGCACATTGGTTTGTGCCCTTGTGTTATTTATGCACCTTCCTATGTTTGTATATTTAGGGCCATAAAGGACACCCTGGAATGCCTGGGATGCCTGGAATGAAGGGTCAAAGAGTAAGTATTGATAAAACCATAACTGAATCTGTCACTTGAATTGGAGTGGGATTGGAGAGAATCAAAAAATTAGAGGTCAATTTCTGGACTACGTAGTCAGACCTCCCACAGCACAAACTGTTGAATTCCATCTAGTTAGCTCAACTGTAGACCCCCATGCCAAATGCTAGATTAAAACACACCTCCCAGAAAAGCATCCAGCCCTAACAGAAAGAGATGGAGGATTCACCATTTTCTTTGAAAAAGTATTCTACTACCTGGTAGCACCCAGAGAAGGTGCTCTAAAATCACTATTTCTACTTCTACTATAGAAAAGAGAGATTAGAGAGCTAGAAAAATGGAGCTGAAATCCTGATTACTATTTTCTTGGCTGTGTGGACAGGAGCTCACAATTTAGCCAAAACACACAATAATCTTTTGTTACTACTTTAGTCTTGTAACACTGTTAAACAATCATGACTTCCTTCTGCAGTTCTGTAAAAAAACACATAAAATATCTTCCTACAGTTTAAAAGCATTTGTAATTGTTCATATGTAAGCTAAGAATAAGAAATGATTCCCTTTAACTTGGGGAATTGCCATGGGGAATCAAGAGTGTGAGGAAAAATAGTAATCAGAGATACATTTTTTGTATCCCACAGGGTTTTGATGGAAAAGATGGTGCAAAAGGTGACACCGGTGCTCCTGGTCCAAAGGTAAAATAACCGTTAATAGTATAATCTTTGTAGGAGATAGAATCAGAAGTAAATTGTTTGTTATATAGCTATGCTTTATGTATTACAATATTATAAAAATCTCTTAACAAAAATTAATTTACATTTCATACAATAAGTCTCATATAAAGAATCTGTAGAACCAAAGGTATTAAACTGTGAGAACAATATCTCATCCTCTTTTTTCTAATTGCAACAAATGTAAGATTCTTCAATGAAAAGAATGTCCTAATCATTTGACTTTATTGCATAGTAGAAAAAAAAAAAAAAAAAAAAAAAAAAAAAAAAAAGACTAAGTCCTCTTGGCTTTCTTTTTTCAATGTACATATTTTGTTCTGGCTTTTTTTTCAGATTTCTCAGATCTTACTGACCTCAATACACACTGAGTGCACTAACTAGCAGACATAAAGCCCAAAGAATTGGGACATATTTTTTCTGTAGATCATCCTCATGAATAAACCAAAAAACACTCTCAGCAAAGATTGTTCTCTCATTGTTTGGTGTTTTCTTTATGCTACAGGGTGAAACTGGTCTTCCTGGCGCAAATGGATCACCAGGCCAACCGGTAAATATACATATTTTGTACTATTTAAACGGAAGTGTCAATGGTACTTTCCTGTTAACACACTTGCTCATTTTTCCTTTAATTACCAGACTATAAACAATGAACAATACTGACCAATGCAAATGGGAGCAAYGTCTGTTTACTAAACCTTATGTATTTAGGCAGCCATACTACAAATTAGTTTTCTTGTGTTTTGTAGGGGCCAAGAGGTCCATCTGGTGAAAGAGGAAGACCTGGGAATCCTGGGGGACCTGTAAGTAACTGCAACTGTTGTTGTAATTAAAAAGCAGCATATATTTAAATATGTTGAGAATTCTCTTGCTCATACAATTTATGCCCTAAAACAGTTGTAGTCTATGCAGAGGATTAGAAAACCATAGATTATATATAAAATCACATGTGAAAACTTATTAGCCACAGTTACACATGGCAGTAGATAGCACATGATATACCCATTTTAATGTCACAATTTGTTCACCATTTTATTCTCTRTTTTCTATTTACATGAATGAATTACAATTTGAGTGAAAGTTCAAGATTTAAGGAAAGGCCTAGAGAAACAGGGAGAACTTCTAAATTAATTTGGAGGATAAAAGTATGTATTGACAAGGATTAAGATGCAGCATCTATTTGTATCTTACATATTAAACTTCAGGAAATGATCACCCGGGTGTGGCTTTGTAGCCATTATTTACTTAAGAAACCTGATATGGATATGCTTTTATGTCATGCTGTCTCATCATTACAGTGTAAGAAATCTAAGGTGATGGACATTCCTTCAGTAATATTTAGTTAATTATTATTTAGAATTTCATAGTTCAAGAATCCTTATGACTTTGTAAAGTAAGTTGGAATGTCCACATTCAAAAGCATGAGAGTCAGGGGCATTAAAAAGTCCAAGGGGAGTGCTCTGAACTTGTGTTCTTTCCATAGGGTGCTCATGGCAAAGATGGTGCTCCAGGAGCAGCTGGCCCACCTGTAAGACTAACTTTTTTGACTATTTATTTCTAGCTGGTACTCTTTAATGTCAGCAAACCTGAGACTTGATATGCTTTGGTTTAGGAATAAGCATTTTCCTAAATTATATTTTGCAATGCTATGTTGCAAAGATACTTGAATCTTTCCAGGAAAATAAAAGTGTCAACAGTATAAATCAGAAAATTAATAAATGCATAAGTCATTTTCAGAGAACTTACTGATGAAGAGAATAGGTATTATCTATGGTAACATTTTTGGATGGGCTTATTAGGCACCTGTCTGAGATGGACAAAAGATTTAATATTCTAGGTGCCCAGAGACATGAGTATGTCCATGTATCTTTGTAACAGCTCTATTGGCTTTTCTTTTTTCTACTGTGATTTTTTTAATATAAAAATCAACTTTTGATTATTTTTTCCTAACTTTATATTTTTAATGATATTTTTCGTGTTTTAAAAATTTAAATTTAACTGAACACATAAAAGTAGCTAATTTGCAGGTGTGATATGTTAAGACTAGCCAAACTTCTTATTCTACAGAGTGATTTATATTTGCTATTTTACCACGTGCTTCCATATTCAGAAAAAAAAAAAACTCATAATAAGATTAATTCCATATGGCTTTTACCTCTTATATTAATAGTATTTCCTTCACTTTTTAAGGGTCCCGCGGGTCCCCCTGGAACTGCAGGATTTCCAGGCTCTCCAGGTTTTAAGGTATTCAAGCTAAATATGTGTACTAATATTGGGTTTGCTCCTTTCTCTAGTTAGCCAGATTAAGATACTATACATCTTAAGTAGATGAATTTTTTTCAGGTTATGATTGCAGTGCTTGCAAGGCTAGAACTGATGTATCTTCCTGTGTGACATTAGACAAAACTTATCTTCATGACCTTCATGGGCAGCCATCCCAAAACACAATTAAGTGGTAGATCCCAGGCTTTAAGTCACATCATGGGAGGAGCTCAACTAAACTTTCAGCAATTAGAGGAAACACGCATCATGCATTAGGATCATGTACCTCAGTGTCATGCAAGTTTGATCYTTGCATTCAGATGATGGTAGTAACAGTCCTTTTCCTGAAGCATCCAAAGATATCCCAGGAGAAGAAGAAGCAACGAAGCTAACATTGTTTGCCCTGGAGACAAGATTAAAATGCATTTATTCTCGTTTTCCYTTAGGGTGAAGCTGGTCCTCCTGGTCCTGCAGGTGCTAGTGGTGCTCCTGGAGAGAGAGGAGAACCTGGTCCCCAAGGTCATGCTGGGCCACCTGGGCCTCAGGTGTGTAAACACTGCTTGAGACCTTGGTCAGCTTGCCCTTCCCAAAGAATTATGACTCCTTTGGTTTAAGGGCATTAGGTTAGCAGCATCAAGTTTTTACTCCTTCATTTTTCAGGGTCCTCCTGGACGAGCTGGAAGCCCTGGCAACAAAGGTGAAATGGTGGGTACCTTTTGCATCACTGCCTTTTATGTTGACATCACATCAGGGTTACGATCCTGAGCAAGCAAAATTCAACAATGAACTCTGTTCGTCTCAATGTCTTTTGGTTCCCTGCAGGGACCTTCTGGTATTCCTGGTGCTCCTGGCTTGCCTGGAGGTCGTGGTCTTCCTGGTCCTCCAGGTACAAGTGGAAATCCTGGAGCAAAAGGCACTCCGGTGAGTCACAAATATCATTATGTGTTTGTACAAACAGATACACTGGAAGAAGTTCAGGTACCCTTAAGAAATACTATTGCATCTCCTATTCATTTGAGATGGTCTAATAAATTATTTTATAATAATATGCAGTTGTTTTTATGAACATATAGCATACTTTCACCTAGGGCAATTTTTTTTTCTTTCCTCTGTTACCTAATAAATAAAAAAAATCAAAACTCTAACTCATCCAAAATATCTGCTTTAAATACAGTCTGTTATTTTTAAATCCCATTTTCAACTATTTCAATTTGTAAATTCCCATAGGCCTGAGCCTATAGCCTGCTACACCTAGTGAGTTGTAAATATTGCTGTACTGCTGTTTACCCCACTTTGCTCTATTCTGGCAACTTTACACTGCATGAAGTTCCTTCTCAGAGAAACACTCAGTGACTTCAAGAAAAAGTCACATCAGTTCCTGAAACCCCCCAAAACCATACCTAAGGTCAATTACTTGGTCAATTACTCAGTCAATATAGTCACATTTAAGCTCTCATCCTTTCTTTTCTAGACCAGATTTTTAAAGATCCCAATACATTCCACAACCAGGTTAAACTAAAGCCTACTAATTCTGTAGGAGATAGAAAAATAATAAAAATGAGTTGACGCTTCAAAAGATATTGTATTGCCTTCTTGGTATATGAGCACTTTATAATAATCTTACAATAATGTTCTGATGGAATCCATAATTTTCATGTGATTTTTCTCTTGTTAAGGGAGAACCTGGTAAGAACGGTGCAAAAGGAGATCCTGGACCAAAAGGAGAGCGTGTAAGTGATTTTTAAAATGTAATCAAAAACTCCTTCCCAGGCAATCTGAATCCTCGATCACTCCTATCACTCCTCTGTGCAAAACCAAGAGCTTAGTTTTGAAGACTTCTGACTTGGTTTGTTTTTGATGTTGTTGCCAGGGAGAAAATGGCACCCCAGGTGCTCCTGGACCCCCCGGTGAAGAAGGCAAAAGGGGTGCAAATGGTGAACCCGGGCAGAACGGCGTACCTGGTACACCTGGAGAAAGGGTGAGCCGCTATGGAGGATGCTGCACAATAGATATATTTTGAATTAACAGGGAGATATCAAAATCTGATATTCAAAGCACTGAAAGGAAAAATTAGCTCTATATATGTTCTGGACAAACTTCAGATGTGAAACTGCTTTACTAAATTGGGAAAAAGTCCAAGTTTTTTGACAGTCAATAGTCTTCTATAGCAATATCATCTTTACTGTCAACCATTTTTGGCTGGTGGATTCAATAAGGTTGCATGGAGTGTTATCATAAATTATTTTTAAATTGATGTATTGAACAAGATAAATAGCAAAAACCTCATTAGAATTTTAATTTTTTGCTCCCATCTGAGCCAAATGAAATAGAACTGGCTTATTCATAACTCCTAATTTAATAATCGGTTGCTTTATTTGTAGAAGCTAATAGGAATGCAGAGATGCACAGTAAACAAATAAATAATCTTAAATATACAATGCTGTATACTGTACTGTAATATAAATATTAGCAGTGGTCTGTAAATTAAATTTTATTATTAAGATTACTTTTTAGCAATTAACATAATAAATATAATTAGCAAAATAATACTACATGGCTATTTTTCGTATTAGAAGAAAATAATTCTTCAAGACTGAATTTTTTCATTTGCTTTTGGTATGAATTTTAAGACCACTTATGCATCAAGTTACTAAGACAGTGCTGGCTGAAATAAAATGAAGGACTATCTATGATTTCAGCAGAAGAGTTATATCCAAAAATAAAAGCAGGTCTTTAAACTTTCTTACCAACATGAAACCTCATTTCCCTGCATTTCTTTCATTAATTCTCATAAATTTACATCATAAACTCATAAAGTTACATCATAACATTACTCATAGCATATGTCTGAAGTAAATTAGTTTAGAAAAAATAGTTGCCATTAACTAAGGCATATTTTTTAATAATATTTATTTATTTTATTTTTTCAGGGCTCCCCTGGTTTCCGTGGCTTACCAGGCAGCAATGGACTTCCAGGTGAAAAGGTATGAGTCTTTCTCTAAAACCATAYTAAATTTCTGTGGAATCCATGTTAAATTGAATGAACAATTTCACTTTCAATATGATGTTTGTTTACTTGCATGTTTTTTAGGGTCCTGCAGGTGAACGTGGTAGCCCAGGACCTCCTGGCCCAAGTGGAACTCCAGGAGAGCGTGGACAAGACGGAGGCCCAGGTCTTCCAGGAATGAGAGTAAGAAATAGTTTAACCAAGAAAGTCTGATAAATTCGACTAGAGATTCCTCGTGTGAGCTAATACAACAGATACATCAGACAAGATTTTTCTKTTCTAGTGATAGTATTGCCGTCTTTAAGTAAAGTGCATATGTTCATAGCATAATAAATAACCATGCAGTGATAAGGATGCTAAAAGGACAATGAAGATTGCTTCATTCTTGATTTTACCATATAAAATGAGTTATCTTCTTAAATAATGAAGGAATAGTTTTGTTTTGATTGGTGACCTATGCCTTGAACATCTACAATGAATCTAAGAGAAGGGAAAGAACTTCTAATAAATGATTTTACTAGCTTTCTCCATTTTTCCCTCCAGATATGAGGATTTTATTGAAGAGCTTTAACCTAGACATATAATTATAATATAATAATAACATGCATTTTATAATTAATAATTTTTTTTCTTCAATTGCAGGGTTTGCCTGGAATTCCAGGAAGCCCCGGAAGTGATGGGAAACCTGGCCCTCCAGTATGTACAGTGCAAATATTTTATCCTGCTCCTTCTAATGACCTTGATCCCCCTTGATCCCCCAGCAACCCCCATGAGCTTACAGTCAGTTTTGTTGTCTCTTTTTTTTTGTTTTAATTATCAAAGATCTTTATATGCTTTCTCATTGCACTAGCATCGTGTAAATCTTGTCATTTAATATTCTTTGAAATATGAKGTATATAAAAGAGCTTAATTGAAATCCAAAACACGTAATTAGTTCTGAATGGAAGTACTGCTAGCCTGACCTTTCTTAGCTCACTGAGGCTTGTGTATTCATTTACTTTGCCTAATGGATGCTCTGTCTTCATTTCTTTCCTGCTTATCCCAGGGTTCACAGGGAGACTCTGGCCGTGCTGGTCCACCTGGCCCAGCAGGTCCACGTGGTCAGCCAGGYGTAATGGGTTTCCCAGGTCCTAAGGGGAATGAGGTTGGTATGATTTCTCCACTTACTTTGTGCTTACCTTTGATTTAACAATTGTTAAAATAAGCTCTTGTAGCTGTACAAAGGGATAATATGGTGTAGCAGCTTTAAAATACTGTATCTTGACTACAACAAGTATTTTGAATATGATCTTTCTCTTTTCTAAGGGTGCACCAGGTAAGAATGGAGAAAGAGGCCCTGGTGGACCACCAGGAGCACCTGTAAGTTCCATTAGTCATTTCTTTTCAATAATATTGCAAAATATCTTTTTTAGTCACTGTCATAAAAATGATACCACACCATAACTAGAGTCTATTTTTGACTTTTTCTAGGGTCCTGCTGGGAAGAATGGTGATGTTGGACTGCCAGGTCCTCCTGGACCTCCTGTAAGTGATGGATTCAAACATTAGTTATTGCCCACCTGGTCTATCACTTATGAAAACGGACTGTGAATTATGGTGTTTTTTTCTGATATAAAGAAATATCTTTTTATGAGGATAGAAATAGAAGAGATAYTCCTCATTTTTTGATAAATACTTGCTAGCTTGTTATGAAAAAGCCTGGRCATAGATATACCTGGTGTAAGCTGAAGTGAAATGTCAGTTCACAGCTTCTCAAATTGAGATATATAGTGCTTCCTTTCAACTTTGTCAGAGCTAGCAGTTCAGACTAGTGTCAAATATTCCTGTGAGATAAATGTCTTGGCTGAATTACATCTAATGGATAGAGTAAAAGCATATGCCACTACACCAAGACACATTAGGATTGTGAAATGTTGTCTCCCATTTGAGATAAGAAGCCTTCAGATGCAAGTGACATGGAAATGTGAACACAGAGCAAGTTCAGAGGAACAGCTGAAGGGTCAAACAGCTTTTTTTTTTTTTTTTTAAATCTTTTGTTTCCTCGTAGGGTGCGTCTGGGGAGAGAGGAGAACCAGGACCCTCAGGTTCACCTGGCCTCCAGGTACTTTGTGTTTGTTGTTTACTGCTTTCTGACTTTTTTTTTTTTAATGAACTAATGAAAAAAAAAAAGTCTAATTGGGACCCCATGCTGTCCATTTTGAAGTAAGACAGGTGAATCAATTGTCAAAATTGATCACCCAGTATTTTATAGTTACTATTAAGAACTGGCTCAATGGTTTATTTCGCATAAATCTCTGGCTATCAAATTAGTCTTCTCCATTGTAAAGGATTTAGATTGAATTAGATACACACTTCTGACCAAAGGGGGCAAAGAAAAAGAAAAGTTGGTTAGGAAAATACGTATTTTATCCATATGTCATAAACCTTTACAAGATGGTATGTTCCTTCATATAGGGATTACCTGGTGGACCAGGACCAGCTGGAGAGAATGGAAAGCCTGGAGAGCCAGTAAGTAGTACATCTCTTCTACACCACAAAATAAAAGAAAAAAAAGAAAAAAGAAAAAAGAAAAAAGAAAAAAGAGAGAGAGAAGTAGAAACACCTGGAAGACAGCTCTTCCCAGATTGGCTTTCCAGGTTCAGACAGCAGTCAGCACTCTGCAGAGCAGACAGCAGAGAACTCTTAGGGATAAGAGAGGAACAGGGTGCCAACTACAGTGCAATTTTATTATGATGTGAAGTGCATAGATGGATTGCTTTTCTTTTTTTTTTTATAAATAGGGGCCAAAAGGTGAAATTGGAGGACCTGGATTCCCAGGCCCTAAGGTAATTTATGCAACATTTCTATAAATCTGTGCATGCATTAATAAACTAAGAACCTGAGAACAGAGTGTAATGTGTTTTATTACTGCAGGGTGAAAACGGTATTCCAGGAGAACGCGGTGCACAGGGGCCTCCAGGACCTCCTGGAGCAAGAGGTGGGCCAGGTCCTGCTGGCTCAGAAGGTGCCAAGGTACCAACAGACATGCATACTTTTCTGCAGCATTCRGGTTCATTTTCTGTTTTTTGGAGGGAATTCCTAATTATTTTTTGTCACTCCTTAGGGTCCCCCTGGACCTCCTGGAGCTCCTGGAGGCACAGGACTCCCTGGCCTACAAGGAATGCCAGGAGAAAGGGGAGCTTCTGGAAGTCCTGGACCAAAAGGGGACAAGGTAACAACCCTCATGCACACATTCATGTGCGTACACAGACACACACATGCTGCTCATTTTATGCTTTCTCTATTTTAGCCTCCCAAAATGCACCAAATCTGTTAAGTTTTTCTTTTGGTCAGATTTCAGAAGTGCTCATTATGCAGATGTATCACTGGTTTAGCAGTGATGCATGGGCTATATATGTTCAAAAGCACATATTAACCCAGATTTAAAAAGCTATGCTACATCTTTGCTATCCTATATCTTTTGCGGGGGTAAATCAAAACACTTCTAAAGAAGTTAATAAACAGCAAGAATAGGTTAGGTCATACTATTTGTCCATGGTAAGGATATCTTTATGATTTTTTAAAAATAATGGGTATATGACACTGAATACTGTGAAGAATGTCATYCTCAATTTTAGATCTGCACGATCACAATAAGAAACTCTAGTTATTGTGATACTCTTAGGATACTTTCCTCTGCATTGTTTTAATTCTTTCTTTGTCTTATGCTTGATAGGGAGAACCTGGTGGCAAAGGGGCTGATGGCCTTCCTGGTGCAAGAGGAGAGAGAGTGAGTAGTTTTTCAAGGTCTAACAATTCAGGAATTGGTTTCATATGCTACACATTTACAATACGGGTAAACTTGCAGTRAATAAATATTATCTAGGTCATGTAAAGAACTAGTTCCAGCATCTTTCAATCCAGGAGTGCCAATTTGATTTTGCAAACCAAAACAAATTTAATACTAGTTTTCATCATTTTATCTGTCTGAGAAGAYAAAATTTTTGAAAGTAGAAGGCTACAATACAGTGGGAAAGTGTTTTGGAGAGAAAACATCAGCATAAAAATGGGAAAGATGCTCCAAGTTTCCTTAATCTAGGTGACTGAAGAAGAAAATGCTGATTGTAATGACAGATATCCAACAAGTACATGCAACTAAGTATCTGGAATTGCACTGAAATATTTAGGGACAACAAATATAAAAARGCAGCTTGTTTGAGTTGAAGGAAAAGAAATGTGTTTCAAAGTATAAGATGCATATTAAATTTTCAAGGAAAAAAATCAGAGGGTTAGTGAAGAAATGTCAAAACCATCCTGAAGAAATGCAGAGCATGTTTTTAATAAATTAATAAATAAAAATGTATAATGTATGTATAAAAAGTTAGGGCAATGAATGACTTCCATTGTCTCATTGAAAGAGACCTAATATAACATAAGATGGTTTTGAGTCAGCTTTGTATGGGGGGAAAAAAGAATGAGAAATCAATCAGAGAGATCTCACATGGCAAAATGGTGGATCTCAAAGTGACAATCCAAAACACAGAGTGGAATAACACAGTGGCACTGTGTTGCTTTCCTTTAAATTTCTCTAGCARCATGTTCAACTGAGCAAATAGATGAAGCAACATTGTCATAAYTGATGCAAAATATGTCATTTTCTATTTGTATAGGGTAATGTAGGGCCCATCGGCCCTCCTGGTCCTGCTGGTCCACCTGGAGACAAGGTAAAGTATCTTCTATAGTAATGTATGATGCTGTAAACAATTGCATTGGTGGCTGTCTCCTTGGAAGAGATAGCGGTGAAGGAACGTGTAGTAAGCATATGTGTTTCTTGCAGGGAGAGACTGGCCCAGCAGGCGCCCCAGGTCCAGTGGGTGCCCGTGGTGGTCCTGTAAGTAAGAGTGCTTTTGTTCCATCATATCTTACTACAGCTCCTCTAGCCTGGCACAGTGTTATTTATTCCTAAATTATTCCTATCAAGAACATATGTTTTCCTAACAAGAACATATGTTCAAGACAGACAAAGCACATGCTATTCTTGTTCACTCTTGAGTTTTACAGGTGTTAAGAACATGAGAAAATCAATGCTTTTAATGTTGTAAAGGGGACAGTGGGCTGAAATGACAGTAAAAGGCAAGAATTGGAGATAGTAGTTCACAGASAGAGCAGAGATATATCTTTTGTTTCATTTCTGTCTTACAGTTAATTCAGCTTTTAAAATATCATACTACTATATTTATTCTTTAGACTGGTAAAACAGCAATCTGAGTTGTATATGGGAAACACTATACATTGTAATGAGACCTTAAACAATTATAATTGAGGTTAGTTTGTCACATGCTAGATAATCTGTTCAGTAATTATTTGATAATTATAGAGCTCAGGAGCAACTATTCCTTTTTTTCCTCCAAAGACARAAATGACCAAGAAATATGAATGAGAATGCACTCAGACTTCATAAGCAAAAATTGTTCTTCTAACATTTTCCATCATTGGTGTATTGCTTTCTATAGGGTGAGCGAGGAGAACAAGGTCTCCCAGGACCTGCTGGCTTCCCMGGAGCTCCTGTAAGTAAGAATACTTAAAGACCAGTAATTATAATTGTTGGTTGTATTTCATTTCTCTTAGATTCAGTTCCATCTTAGAAAGATTGTCTGTAACATACTTTAACTTACATATTTACTACATACATTCACAACATTTGCAGTTCTTTCTCTTCTTTCATTCAGATTTAATGCTATGATCAAATGTGAGAAGAGTGAACATGTTTTCTCATCATAGTGATATTGTTGCATTTTTTGAGTCACAATAGGTGATTAAAAGAAGATAGCATAATCTCACTAGACTTTTAATAGGCTATAACCTGTATGTGTTTTCATTTTTTGACAGGGCCAAAATGGAGAACCTGGTGGGAAAGGAGAAAGAGGCCCAACTGGTCTAAGAGGAGAGGCTGGACCTCCTGGAGCTGCAGGTCCCCAAGGTGGTCCTGGTGCACCAGTAAGTCTTTGTTTTAGTCCTCTCTCAGGTCACTGCCATGCCTGAGTACAAGCATTTGAACTACCTGAAACTTAAAGACATTTTTATAATTCTGTAATTTCTAAAATAATCTGTTTTTCAAGTCATGTTACTTTTTCTGCCTGAATTTGTATAGGGCCCACCTGGTCCTCAAGGCACGAAAGGAGAACGTGGATCTCCTGGAGGACCTGTGAGTATCTCTGTAACTTAGTCATTGATATATGGTTCTGTTTAGTACAGCCAACAGGCTGTGAATGAAGCACAAGAGCTTGAGTGACTTTAATCAAGAGTAATTCAAGTGTTTGAGAATAATCAAAGTATTCCACAAGGAGTAATTAAGGTTGAGGTATTTAGTGATCTCGCTTCCACTGGTTTAAACACAAGTGAGGTGCCAAAATAGCTTTTGTGATAATGACCTGAAGTTACAAAATGGCTTATCTCAATGTGTGTTATTAGATTTATGTGCCATCCTTGCCAGTTTTCCTGAGCCCATTAGTTCACGTTGAGGGATGTATAAAACCTTCTTTTGAAAAAAAAAAAATACAGTTTTGAATTTCATATTCAGTTCCAAGAAATGCAATTCAGGTTTTATGCAAAACAACTAAATATAACGTACAGTTAACTTTTGTATAGAGATGAATTCGTACAAGTTACTTGTCTTTTCCTAAGCTTCAGAACCTGACAGCTAATAACACTGATATGTTGCAGGGTGCTGCTGGTTTCCCTGGTGCTCGAGGTCTGCCTGGTCCCCCTGGTAACAATGTAAGTYGTCTTGGCATTCTTCTATTCTTACCTTACAGATCCATTTAAACATATCTATTAAAATGTAAAAAGCTCTATGTGCAATACAAGCAAGAATATCCTAAGTATACTTGGTTGTAGGGAAGAAAAATGTGAAGGCGGATCTTGTCTGGAACAGCAAATCTTTCACTTACCATCTTGGTAAATCTTTTTCTCTCAGGATTAGCTTTCCAAAGTCCATGAAAATTATTTCAGATTTGAATAAACAGTATATTTTTCTGTCTTATGGTCACAGACCATAAGATGCAAATTTAGAATACTGATGAACAATAAGAAAATTATTATTTAAGGTAACATTAAATTCATTGCAGCCTTTCCATTGACTGGMAAAGCAAAGAGTTTTAATGAAAAGCTTTTCATTGTCTATGTTCTTCCACACTTCTAAGACACAACCCTAAAAGTGTGTCTTGGTTAAATAGGAGTATACAACATGAATGACTTCAGAAATCATCTGGAACTTCTACTATTTGAAGTTTATTTGTCAGAACCCTGGATAATGAATTTTCCCTGAGTGGAGAAATTACAAACATTGGGCATCCCAAATGTGCATTTGTTGTGTTATGAAAACCATAATCCAGACACTAGGAAGAAAAAAAATAACAATAATAATAATAATTCTGATCTGATTTAAAAGGAGTTTAAAAACAATATGTGAAAAGATTAATTCTTCATACAAAACCGAATCAGATTTGAGTGCATAAAGGCTGGGTCCTAAATGCACCTTTAGTCAATGAATCAAGTCTGGTCTGGCTGACTCTCATGGGGAAGATCAACACCAGTGAATGATACTGATTCAGATGATATTGTTCACTCTATTTTTTTTTTTTTTTTTTTTAATTTAGGGTAATCCAGGTCCACCTGGCAATGCAGGACCTGCAGGTAAGGATGGGCCTCCTGGACCCCCTGGCAGTTCTGGTTCTCCTGGCAGTCCTGGACCTGCTGGAATAAGAGGCGAGCCTGGTGCCCCAGGAGAAAAAGGCCCACCAGGTGCACGAGGAGAAAGGGTATGTACACATCTATCCAGTAACCATCGTATCAGTAGAGTGTGAGCATGTTTGTCAAGAACGTGAATGTAAGAGGCTCAGCTGACTATTGATAGAAGTGATATTTTCTTAAACAGGGAGCACCAGGTGAACCAGGTCCTCAAGGCATCGTCGGTGGACGTGGTAACACAGGTTTACCAGGCCTGCGTGGCCCAGCTGGTCCAGCGGGTATGGCAGGTGCAAAGGTGAGAGCACCTTTGTTGAAGTAATCATCTTCAAAACTAATTCAACAAATCTAATTCTGCCGTTAGAAATGGTCTGGAGKTACAAAATGTAATGCATGTGCAGCACTTCATTAATGCTTATAATCTTTCTTTAAGATGTATATAAGTACAAAATTGATCGCTCTTCTGAACTATTATGGCACACTGTCCCTTCATAATACTGGGAGTCCTTTGTGATCCTTGCTGTTTAACTAGAGCTGTGTAGTGTAATAGCATGCATATAAACACATTATCGGCAATGAAATCCTTTCCCTTTTTGTTCAGGGTGAAGATGGTAAACCAGGCGTCAATGGTGTCCCAGGAGAACGTGGTGCTCCCGGACCACAGGGTCCTATGGGACAAAGAGGTCTACCTGGAGAACCTGGTAGAGATGTGAGTGGATATCTTGGATCTTCCTTCTTTCTTACAAATTATATAGAGGACTCAGGGAGTAAATATGCTTTAAGGTTCATCAGGTTGCCCTGAAATRCACGGTGAACGAGGGCCTACATTCTCATGTAAGATGGTGTAGCCTGCTCTCTCTGCTATGCCTTTTACAACCTGTGAACCATGACACTGTTTCTCTTGGAACTGAGCAAGAGACTGCCCTTCCCAAATACCTACAAAATACCAGGAGAGTGATATATAGATGTCTCCTCATACTCCTTGAACTCTTCCCTCTTGAAAACTCTCTTGTTTTGATTAGCATTATTTCAGCTTATTGGCAAACATGCTATCTATCCATAATTCATCCTACAAATTAACTGTATTATCCTCTTTTTCAAGGGTAATCCTGGCTCAGAAGGCTCACCTGGACGTGATGGATCCCCAGGAACCAAAGTAAGAAACCATAAATAATATCTTAATATTGACTAATAAATCTTACAAAGAGATATGTAGATATGTAAATAATTCTGTGCCATGTGACTTGTTCCTTGCATCTCTTGAGATCCACTCAGTGTACATTTTAATCCTGTAGGTCAATAAAATATTAWATTCCTTTCAATGTGACTCCATCTGCAGGGTGACCGTGGTGAAAATGGCTCTCCTGGTCCTCCCGGGCCTCCTGGTCACCCTGGGCCTGCAGGTAACAACGGTGCACCTGGAAAAGCTGGCGAAAGAGGATTTCAGGTAGGATCAAAGCAAATGGCTAACCACTTATTTGCTTATCTTTAATCTGTGCAATCCATTTATGTAGTAGGAGTTGCTTTGAAATAGTCAGCTACCATCATTTGTTACTGTCACAATTTCTTGGCACTGAGGATCTCTCTTACAAGATTACTAAGGGGAACTAACGGAAAAGATGTCACAATTTTATTGCTGCTATATGTAGATTAAGCTCAAACCCCACATSCTATTTAGGATGCCAAAAAAGACATAATTCCACAAGGCCTTATCTTAAATTCCATCCCATTTGATGCCCATGCAGCACAAGCTGTATTATGTAATTAAGGGAATTAAGCACTTTATAATTAAGCACAAAATAACTTCAAGTTATTTTGAAGGAATGCTGACATGAGCACAACCTGAACAGTGAGCACCTCACAGAAAGAATGAGGTGCAATGCAACTGAGGTGTGTTTTAGAGCATAAAACAGCTCAGTAAAATGAACGTTTTTTAAAAAAGGTTAACAATTAAAAAACATGATTAAAAAACCATGACCTGTCCAAAGTTCGTGCTGACTAATTAGTGCTTCAAGTGCCCTCTCATCTCTGAACAGCTGTGGATTTTGACCATACTGCTTATGTGAAAATAAAAAATAAAGTGATCTAGATAAAGGCAACTTATCCGTACCATCTTATCCTTATCATTTCACAGGGTCCACCTGGCCCTCCTGGCTCTGCTGGTCCTGCTGGTGCTCGTGGTCCTGCTGTAAGTTCTATTTAAAGTATTTATGATATAGCATATTCACTCTTTCCTGCTATTGGGGCTTTATTTTTTTTCTTATTTCTTTACATACTGCTTTTATTACAAATTTATTCCTATAGGGTCCCCAAGGTCCTCGTGGTGATAAAGGCGAAACTGGTGAACGAGGTAGCAATGGCATAAAGGGACACAGAGGATTTCCTGGTACCCCTGGCCTCCCCGGTCCTCCTGTGAGTATTTGGCATAATTGGGTGGATTACGGTTGTGTTCTTAGCTTCTGTTGTTTGGGTTCCAGGTACCYAATTAACCTTAGCTAATTTACTGAGAAATATATGTATTTTGACTCTCCAATGTATTCAGAAGATCAGGTTCCCTGAATCAACCTAAATAGGATGAATAAAAAAGACTGCTAGGAGCTAAAGCTAGTTTTGCTAGGGTCCTTTTGAAATATGTTTCTGCCTTTAACTACAAGAAGTATTCTTTTAAATTCATTTTCATAAGATATTTCTGATAAAATTGTCTAAGAAATAGGGGTTGAAAGATCTATCTCCATGAGAAATTTATACTAGGTAAGTATCTAAATGTATGAAAAACCTACTCAGAATCCAAATATTTATTTTTTTTTATTGCATACCTTTTGATAATTAAAATTAGGACAGAATGGATATGAAATTGAAAACAAAAAATTGAACAGCTGAATTATAAACAGTCATTGCCATTTTAGGACAATCYTTAATAGCTAAAATAATTTAAAGGTGTACTCTTAATAGCTAAAATAACTGATAGGTACATCATGGGTAGTTATGACAAGTCAAAATTTAAAGAGTGATTTATATTGAAAAGAATTATGATGGCATAGCTTCTCCTTATATAAGTAAATGAGAACCAAGAAACCAAAATTCTTCTAGTACTCTATTGGTGAAGCCAAAAAGACAAGAAGTGTTAACTGTAAAACTTACCTATTAAACAACTCAACATACCTTGTTGTCTTATCTGTATCATGAATAAAATGCAATATGATAAATTTTCTTCATTTACATCATGAAAGTAATATGATTAAGCATTTTAGTTTTTTTARTGGTGCATACATTTATGAATAAACAGCAATTTTTAGTGCACTTTGAACATTATTAATGGCTTGCCAAATTCTTTAAATAGCTTTGAGGGCATTATGATAAAACTGGCAGCATTTTCGGACTGTGGCTATGTATTCTTCTGAAGATTATATTTCATCCAAAGCTTGCTGAAGTCAGTTGACTTTCTTACTTTTTGCATGAGAACCATCATTAATACTTTTCATTTAGAGAACATTTGGTAATTTTTCTGGTTAGAGAATAGCAATCATTCTTCCTTATATCTGATCCAGTCTTTTACAACTATGTAGTTTATGTAATTTTAAAGATATTTTCATTGTCTTTATTTAAGGTGCATCCAGCTAGTTTCAAACTAGCAAACTGAGAAGTATATGACTTATCTTTTCTTCACAGGGACCTCTGGGTCCACAAGGTGCAATTGGAAGTCCAGGAGCTTCAGGTGCAAGGGTAAGAAAAATTCTCTACTTGGTGTAACTGTAAGATTGGGAATGACTGCACACACAAAAATATGGTCATTTTAGCAGGCAAGTTCTGAAGAAAAAGGAAACACCTGATAAATTATACAGAAATGTTTGGAATCTATCACAAATCATTTTTAATGATTAATTAAGCTTAATTAAGCATTAATTTTACACKTATATAATTAATTAAGCATTAATTAAGTTTTTTTTTGATCATATTGTATGTGTTCACCACTGTTCTAGGGTCCCCCAGGACCAGCTGGCCCCCCTGGAAAAGATGGTACAAGTGGTTACCCAGGTCCTATTGGTCCTCCTGGCCCGCGTGGTAACAGAGGTGAAAGTGGCCCTGCGGTAAGTAAATTTTGTACACTTCACTTAAACAAATACTTGTTTGTCCTCTAAYAGTAGGACTCTCTCCCACTTAAATATCTCCCTCCAAGTATGCTGTACTCAGAGATCAAGTCTGTAGTAGGAGTTATCTCCCCATTGTGTCCAAGCCCCAAAAATACAAATCAGTCATAGGTCAATGTTAACTATTGATTTACTCAAATTTATGCTAGTTATATGTAATCATTGGCCTTTCACATGTAAAATAGGAAAGTAGAAACTCTTAAGTTCCTTAAGCAACGTAAGACCACAGATTCCCATTTTGTCTCACAAGTCACAGAACGGGGATGTAGTTTTTCATACTCCTCTAGGGAAACTAACACTGCAAAGGTCATTAGCATAGTTCATGGTACTACTTTTAATGCCAAAAAAATGACCATTCTCTGGAATTTGGTGAAAAAGTTTCTTCCAGTCACAGTTTGAAAAAAATAAGGAAAAGAAAATTCCAAGCTTAGGAAGACAGGTTCTCTAACAATAGTCCTTACCTAATAAGTGGCCTAATAAGTCCTTACTTATCTGTAGTAAGTAAGATAAATATTTCTGTGCAAATTCTTATTTGTTTTATTATTAGGGTCCACGAGGCTGTTAATTTGAACTTGTGATCTTTACTCAATATCATGTTCTTTATTTTTCAGGGTCCACCAGGCCAACCTGGTCTCCCTGGTCCTTCTGGTCCTCCTGGTCCATGTTGTGGTGGTGGTGTAGCTGCCCTTGGTGCTGGTGAAAAAGGTCCAGTGGGCTATGGGTATGAATATCGAGATGAGCCAAGAGAAAATGAGATCAACATGGCTGACATCATGTCTTCAATGAAATCACTTAACAATCAGATTGAAAACATAATTAGTCCTGATGGGTCACGGAAGAACCCAGCTCGTAACTGCAGAGATCTGAAATTCTGCCATCCTGAGCTCAAGAGCGGTATGTTAGGTTTTTACTTATATCAATGGCAGAAGAACTTGATTTTTGCTGAATGCTCTCTAAGTATTAGAATGTAGGGACTTGCTATTAAAAAGTTTTGGTTTTTTGAAAATGTTATGATATCAATTAAAGGCATAATAACCATTTTAAGTGAAAAAGTGACTATGCATACCAAAGGATATGCACACTACCCCTTATGTGCTTATAAGCAAATATATGTCTAATTTTTTTTTTCTGGATAAGAACTATAAAAAGTAGAAATCATTTATTTCAAGTGTCAGTCACCTTACTCGACTGATTATATTTGTTTATTTGTGTATCATCTTAGCGTTTTTGTAGCATCTTTTCTGTCAAAAATAACATGCTTCCTAACTTGGATCAATAATCTGTAAAAGAGACAGGCCTCACATTGTATTTGGAGAGAAATTTATACATATAACAAGCCTTTCAATGTTTTGTCCACCCATAGGAGAGTATTGGATTGATCCCAACCAAGGCTGCAAGATGGATGCTATTAAAGTATACTGTAATATGGAAACGGGTGAGACATGCCTCAGTGCTAACCCCAGCACTGTGCCAAGGAAGAACTGGTGGACCACTTCAAGCAATGAAAGGAAACATGTTTGGTTTGGTGAATCTATGAATGGAGGCTTCCAGGTAAGGTCCACAGCACCACAGTAATCAGCCCAAAGGGTAGTGCATATACTGTACTTGCATACACTGTAATTTACCCAGAAATAAGCAATATTCTGGAATCAAATCATGCTAATATTTAGTAGGTGAAATATTTACTACCCTAGGAGTCCCCAGACATGACTACATTAAAGATCTCACATCTTATACTTCACAGTTCAGCTATGGAGATCCTGAGCTCCCAGAGGACGTCTCAGAAGTTCAGCTGGCATTCCTCAGGATACTCTCTAGCCGGGCCTCCCAGAACATCACTTACCACTGCAGGAACAGCATTGCCTACATGGATCAAGCCAGTGGAAACGTCAAAAAGGCCCTGAAATTAATGAGCTCTGTGGAAAGTGAGATCAAGGCTGAAGGAAACAGCAAATTCACATATGCTGTTCTGGAAGACGGCTGTACTGTAAGTAAACAAGATTTTAGAATGATAATCTAAAAACTAATTCCTCCTAGGGTACTAAACCCTGAATAATGGATGAGAGCGCTTTGCATGACCTGAGTAAAGGAAGGGCAGAGTTGCATCTAATTGAGGGCATTTAGATTTGTTACAGCAAAAGTGTGGCTCTTGTAGCAAGTGTAGAACATGAGACAAGCTTTTATTTAATTCTGTGCTTTATAGTTATCGCCACTCTTTGGAGTCCAAGTCAGTTAGAGGCCTACAGTGAAGTCAGTGACCAGTTTTTGATCCTAACCCCATCTCAGCTAAGAGAAATAAGCGCAGTAGGAGGTAACTAATCCCTCCTGTATGGAAAAAAAAGAAAAAAAAAAAAAAAATCAAAGCTAGCTGATTCAAACCACTCACATGGGTGATGATTATGGGAAGGGGCAAAAATAGTAATTTTTCAGCCCTGAACATTTCTAGTCCGTGTGCCTTGCTTATAGCAGCAGAAAATACTGAACAGGAACAGTAAGACCTAAAAGTTTGCTTGTCAAGAAGCATCTGCAAACGTTTTTGTTTAAAAAAATAAACYGCAGGAAGCAGGGATTGTGTTGTACAAGCTTAAAAAGCATAACAGTCACTGACATATATTGCAAGAACTGCATTTTCAGATGCTTGAATGCTTTGCAGACAGTTGTAGACTTTGTAGACATTTCTTTAATATGAACATGAAATTTTATCTCATTACTGCTAATACTTCTTCCTGAGAGGAAAAACAGCAGTGCAAAGAAAATAACCATTTCCCAGAATAAAGTCTGTTTCAGTCCTATATTGAGTGCTGGCACTGCTCCCAGGTACTCTGCTGTCAATGGACACATCTTTTCTGGGCAGCAGGGAGCTAGAACCCCATAATGCCTCWCATAAAAGGTCCATTGGCTGACTGGAAATGAAGAATAGTTATAAACATTTTCTTTCCTAAGGAACTAATGGGCATAAAAGATAATAAGGAATGTATAGAATCCTGTAAACTGTACATTAACTTGCATATGGGTCTATGGTGCTTTATGACATGTTTTATTTTTCTCTTTAATTTCACAGAAACACACTGGTGAATGGGGTAAAACAGTCTTTGAATACAGAACACGCAAGACAATGAGGTTGCCTGTGATTGATATTGCACCCTTAGATATTGGTGGTCCTGATCAGGAATTTGGTGTGGACGTTGGCCCAGTCTGCTTCTTATAAATCAAAGATCTTGCTCTTTCTGATATCCCAGCAAACAAATTCACACTTCAACTGTGCTCCTTTGTTTTAACCTTGTCAGCTAGTACAGGTGACCATCTGTATCCCAGTTATTTATTAACAAAATTTCTGGGGGAAAAAATAATTTGATATCGAGGGTTATTTTTTTTTTTTTTTTTTTTTTTTTTTTTTGCTATTACACAAAGTACAATAAAAAATGCTTTTGCTGTATTTTTTTAACCAAATTCCACCTTCAAAACATGTCTCCGTGGTGCTATAATAAAACTTCAACACTCAAAACAACACTGTGTTCTATTAGTTGAATGTTAGCCAATTTACAAGGCACTGATTGCTCCCTGTACCAAAGTTTACCCTCTTTTCTAAGATACAGTCCATATAGCTAGAAAGACTTCCCTGTTTCAACTACCTCAACATGGACAGAAACTGGGATGTGTCTGATGATTCACACCAAAAAAAAAAAAAAAACAATCAAACAAATCAGTCAAAACAAATTGGACCTATTGGTTAGTGGAATCATTCGGTACAAAATTACATATTTCTGTACTAATTAGCTGTGAAAAAGTACAGTGTATTTTAAGAATTTAATACCTTAATGTTAACAGTCACCATAATTTTATTGTTGGATTGTATTCTGTTATCAAAGGTGCTTCTCTACTTTCCTGTCATTGCTGGTCAAGACCACTAAAATTAGGGAAGTATAAAAGAGTAACATGATGGTGCTAAATATATTTTTCACTCCTAACTCTGCAAGTCAGGGTTATTGACTTGCTTTAAAAAATAAAGGATTAACAGCAATTATAAATGTCTCCTGTCATAGCTTGTTATTGGCATGTCATATTTGAGAACTTTGTCCCTTCACTCTGTAAAAGTCAATAAAGGTGCAAAATTGTGAAATTTTTTTGTCACGTTAACACATTTGTAGTGTTGAAGGTTAACCATCCTTGTAAGCTTTTATATGGTTGTTGGTCTATTCCTTACAGAGACACATAATAAAATATCTTTTAAAAACTCCTTGTTGACTTTTTTTTTTTCATTTTTTTTCAAAAAAAAGCTCTTTGTATTTCTTTGCTCTATATATGGCAGACAATCAAACTGGCACTGAGTTTTCTACTTTGACTTGAAGTTGGCACCAGATAATAAAACTGTCTTACCTGCTCCTCTGCCTCCAGCATCTTCTCTTTCAAGGCTGGTGAGCTTCTCTGTCTGTGATTATAGATTCAGTTCTCGGAGCAGAATGCAAAATAGTGCCCTGTACCTAAACAAATCTTTTTTTTTTTAGATTTAGAGGGAATAGACTAAAGGGAATAGAAGAGCTGAATCCACCTAAGAGAAAGACACTGCCAACCACAGCAACAACGAAATGCTTTGATCTAAATAAATAAGCAAGTAGTAATAAATAACAATAGTAATAAATAAGTAGTTGCAGCAAGTAGTAATAAATAAGCAAGCATCTTTCCAGATGACAGCTTAAATGGTCCAAGCTTTACTACAGTGTTTGTCCAAGCACTAACATTTGAACAAAACTGGTAATCAAATAACCTTGAATATCAAGATCTGTAGCCACTGGAGAGGCACAAGTCAGTCATCCCCAGATCTTAGTGCCGTCTCAAGGCAAGGCCTCACCTCAGTGCATTCAGTGGTGTCTGAGCTCAAACTAGGAGAAGGAAATTATAGGAATGGCACAAGAGCCAGAACTGAGACAGAATCACAGAATCTCCCTCATGGGTCAGGACCGCCCTGCTCACCCCAGAGCCCTGGACGATTTGGACCTCTGTCCAACAAGATAGAGAGCTTCAAAAAAGGAGAGTGTCAGAAATTTCAAGTCTTAAAGGTTGTTGTTGAGTCAGGCACCTTTGGAGAGCGCCTGTGGATTAGAGCAAGCAGGAAAAATGGGCAGAAGCCTGCAGTTTCTGAGAGATCGTCCCAGTTCTTATGGGAACTCTCCTCTTTTTTTTGTAATGGTAACAATAGATGCCATTTGTGCAAGGCAAGCATTACATGTAAGTAATAATTTTATTCTGGTGTGTGTATATATATATATATTTTATATATATAAGTGTTTTTTATATATATATATATAAAGATTTATATATAAACACAGCTAGAAGTCTTTTGATAGAAATTTTATGAAAACAGCTGCTAGGAATTTTGGCTGATGAAAAAACACATTGGAAACACCTGTGCTTAATCTGTGCAGCAGAAATAATAGCCTCTATAATCTCCAGTACCAGTACACTACTGAGAAGTGCTTGTTAAAACTGAGAAACACTCATCAGGTTAATAATTTCTGCTAATGAAGGGTGATTATTATATCATTTGTAGAATACAAACAGTAAAGAAATAGCTGAGACAACCACAAAATAATTTACCGTTTCAAAAAAAATTTTTTTCCAGAGGTCATTTATAAGGCCTACATAAGCCTGATGATACTTTTGTACTCTTTTAGAAAGGTCTTTGGGAAGAGGCAAAAAAAATACACAGAAAAATGAAATCAAACAACTTAATAAACAAAAATCAGCTTAGATAATAAGGTTATACTTCAGTAGCCCAAAATTCAATCTTACTTCATACTGCCATTTATTATATTAGGCTGCAAGAACCTCTTGTTTTTACTTTATATGAGAAATAGAAAGTTCTTACCTGATATTTGTAGGCTAACAGCACAATCCCTTATACAAGGGAGGCTCTTTGCAACTAGTTAAGTGCCTCAAAATAGTCACCTAAGTTAACAGGTCTTTCAGGACTATAGAGAAACAAAGACCAATATCTGTGTTCAGGATTTATGGTAGAAAGACAGTGACTAAGCAGGCCTAGGTCAGCTAGTTAGGTTAATCATCTTCCTTTGGAATATAATTATAATTTGCATTTTACATATCTATCTAATTTTCATTTGGAGAAAAGAAAAAAATACATAGTCTGCATATAGTTGAATGAGAGTCATGGACAAACAAGCAAAGAAGCTGCTGAGACTGCAATTAAAAAAAGCCTGATAGGATTAAAGAAATTTTCATACTCGTGCACTTTTTCATTTGGTTATTCTTTACACCGGCATTCATATATTTCACCTTCCTGCTCCCCCTGTCACACATTACAACCAATCTTGGGCAAGTGGGAGGAAAATAGAAAACAAACAAACAAAAACTTTAACTTCTCCTCAACTAGATTCTCAGCTGATTCCAATAGCTTTTGGATTCCACTACCTTAGCGCGGGAATATTTAGGGTCTTAGTATTTCTTTGAAGCTTCATTTTCCCAATTAACTGCAGTGCTCACTCAAAACTATTGGTCCTTTTGCAAGACAGAAGAGCTTTTCTTCTGCTGAGTGTGGACTTTGAGCTTGAGTCCTGGGGAATAGCTAAAAAAGATCCTTACCTCTCTCCACATACTTTATGGACATGAGATTAAAAAAAAAAATTACAAACACCAAAAGAATAACCAGCAAACTACTACTCTGTTTCTAATAGCAAAATTGGAATCTGATTAGCCCCAGATTTTAGATGTCTGTAAACATGTGTGAGCCACAGAGCCTTACCTTGTTTTGGATGATAGGTGGAAGGTTCTCCATGGCCACCATATCTGGTATTAGCCTGGTGCCTGGCCCCCTCTTCAAAGCCCTGTAATCTCAAGTGAATCTTCATGGTGACAGGTTGAGAAATCACAATACAAGATCCTTGGCATTGGCAGTATGGAGTATAGTTTGTAATTCATGCCCTTTTGTGACACCAACCAGATATCTTAAGCCTCTGTTTGCAGAAAGTAACTTAGAGGAAGCATAGGCTACAACAACRTTGACTTCATAAATGGGCAAGATATTCCCCCAAACACACCTGATCATGCTATGACTTGACCGATAAAGCCTGGGGATTGAAGTCATTGGGAGTGAAGTCCTCGCAGAAAATTAATTTTCAGTGTTCCTCCTCAGCTGCAAATTTTGCACTTATTTTGGCTGATTGATAGTTATTTACCACTGTAGCACTGCCTCAGTGTAGTTAACAAAGTACTATATTGCTTATCATGGATAACATACCCATTTTGACAAAGAAACTATAATAGCTCTTTAAAAAAAAATCTTGCCAAATTCTTGTCACCTTAAAAAGCATAAGAAGAAAGTTAGACCTGGTAGGTAATGATTTTAAAACTGAATGTCTCTTTTCTGGAAGTGTTAGTAGTGGAGCACTTGCTGCCAAGAGAGCAAACAAAACAAATATAGAGGGCTGTATCAAATATAATTATGAATATGTAATTTCTTTACTATTTAGTTGACATCCTATGTCTGATGCTCTACTTCATTATGCCCTTTAAGACAATCCATAGAAGCATAATCAATATACACTGTTTCTTTCCTCTAAGACCATTCCTTCCAAGATTGCCTTTGCTTGTCCTCTTTTGCTTTGCCTCTTTTTCTAAGCAAAGCTAGGTTTAAACTAAACCTCTCTCTTCATTACTGCCAGAGGAGGAAATTCGTGAGATAAAATGCAATGGACTATTTCCAGTTTCTAGTCAGAGATATGAACATCTCTAGATTAAGCATCGGTCTTAAACTTCTGGCTTAATCCAATTTTGGTGTAGAACCAGGCAGCATCTTCCTTGTAGGACAAAAGTTCTCCTACAGTTGTCATCACTCTAATGTAAATGTTATGGCTCTTTGTTATAGGAGCAAGATTACTCCTTACCTAACTCAAAAAAAGACAAAAAAGTTCTAGACATTGCTAGACCAGATAATRAAGTCTTGTAAAACTGATCGTTTTTGTATAAAATCTCGCACTCAATTGACTAAGGTTAAAGTACACTTCTGTGACATTTTGACCTTGCAAGGTTTTCTGCACTAACACTCCTAACCGAGGTTTTAAAGGAGGGACAGTAATACCTCACCTCAGGAACTACTTGTGCAACAGGAACATTTGATAGCACACCATACCTGGACATAGAGAACACAATACATCATAAATGGCTATGAACTATTACAACTTAAACGAAATTTAAGCCAGAGCTGGTAACAAATGACAATGTCTTACCTCCAGCAGCAACAAGAAAGAAAACATGAAAGACATTAACACACGGGGAATGGTGAGAAAAAAAATTTTTCTAGGAGCTGGTCCAAAGTAGTGTTTCTTGATATCTTATGCATTATTCCTAACCTTCTCCCAAAAACTGAGGAAACTTATAATGCTAATAAGCACAACAGGTAAATTGGAAATCAGTCTTTCTGCTACAGTACATTCTGTTTCTCAGCTTTGAAGTTCAGTCTTTTTTCCATTTGTGGAAAAATATGATTCTTCCATTGCTGTTACAAATATTTTATTGTCCAATAATCACAGACATGAGTGAGAAGGAACTTCACAAAAATGCTGGTTTCTTGCACCTCAATTTTTGACCACACCCTTCTCTTTTATCCGCCACCTTTCCCCCATCACCACCCTGTCCAGGGCAGCCAAGACTTTTGTGCAAGTGAGTCTTCATCAAAATTCATCCTTTTCTTAATAGTGTTTCTTATAACTTCTATTTGATACACCGATAAACATTACCTTAGATTTTATCATAAGATAAAATACTGAAGGACAGTAAGGTCAAATAATCCACCTAAAATGGTATTACCTTGTAAGAAACTGAGTCTAATGCTTTGGTGCCCATTTAGTAATTTTTCAAGAAGACTCCTTTATGAATATTTTGAGTTCTGCAAAATATGCTTGAAACGACACACTTTAACAGTATCTTTGAACTCATAGCAAGCAAAATGCAATCTATTGGACATGCTAATGAGGAACCAAAATGATTGTTTCCTTCTAACACAAACTGTTCGCTCAATTTGGTCTACAACCATGCAGTCAATTTGGGATTTATATCCACAGAATCAAACTGTAGGTTTTCTAATAATTTATTCTCATGCAATTTTTAATATCGGCAAATTTTTAATATTACACTAATTTTCAGATCATTTCATCCATGGTATTTGCCTAC